GCTCCTGCCCCTTTTTTCCTTATCTCTTTGCTCCCATAAACCTTTTCATTCCTAACTTCTTTTCAGTGTTGGCCTCTGGAGGAGTTTAACAGGGATATCAGTGGATTTGGAATCAGGCCTCCCAAATGAAGTCATTCCTTATGCTCAGTTCTGGGATGTGTGATCTAACTAATCAGAACTGCTGATTTCATGGGGGCAGAGGGTAGCAGCAGTAAAAGACAAAGCTCTGTGAGGCTGACCCACCTGGGAAGGTTTGAATGTGGATCCCGGGGCCATGATCCAGGACTGGATGAGGCTGAGGGTGGATGGAGGCATGAAGATCCTCGTGCTGTCACCACGATCCCCAACTGCGGAAGATATAAACTTTAAAAAAGAAAAAAAAAAAGGCATTGCTGTTTACTCATGTAAAAAATTAAAGACACATGTCTTTCATAGCTACATTTCATGGTTGTTATGGGGCTAAAACGAACATGTACAGAAAAATGCTATGTGATTTGAAAAGCACTGTGTAAAGTATTACAGTTTTTTATTAAAAGGCCTAAAGAGTTAAAGCCTATCCCAGATTATCTAACAATTCTCAATTTTTTAAACTTTCAAAGATAATAATTTTCCAGCCCTTTCAAGGCTGGTATGGTGTATGTGGTTTTTCTGTAGCTTTACTTATTCCCAGGGAGTAATTTATACACTTAGAGATCTTGTTTGACAATCAGATACAGACCTAAACAAAGGATTGTAGAGAACTATAGTAACCCGTCCTGGGAATTTTGGTTAGTTTCTTTTCATTTTCAGGATAAAGATGAGGTAGAGGAAACAAGAAACATTGAAACAAATCTCTTTTGACAAACCACAGTGGCCAGAGTATTGGGGGAAAATGCTTAACACTTGTGTAACCATGAACCAATTTTCTTTCATGCTAGAGTGATAACTGTAATTCTGTGTCTGTGGATAAATATTACAACTTGAATATACATGTAAATAAAATATTTTCATAAGCATACTCTTTTAGCATTCATTGTATTTCTGTCTATATGTAAGATACTGAAAGATGAGAGCTAGTGATCATGCAATTTTTTTTTTTTAATCAGAAAAGCTTTTGGCACTTCCTGTCCAGCAGAAGAGACATTTACCTAGGATGTGCTATTGTTTGCTTAGCTGGTAGCTCCAATTTGCAATAGGTTTCCTCTCTTTTCTTCTGCCTTTCAAGAAGTATGTTTTCAGTTTGTATGAGTAGTGATCCATATTCAGTTTTGAAATTTTGTAGTTTCACATAAAGAACCATAAAAAGGATAAAATCTAAAGTTCTTTTTACTGTTTTGTTCATCCTGCCCAAGGTACCTGTTACAGAGTGGAGGATGGGGTGTTGAAGTTGATCTAGAGATCTAAAACATCCAGCTAATTGACAAAGTTAAAACTTTTGGCTGTTTTTTCAGATGTCAGGATAATACTCAACTAAGTGTACCTGTCAATGCAAGGTTAACCCAAATAGTTTTGCATATACTTTACAAATGTGGGTAAAAGTAAATAAATACTGCTATTCTACTATAGATGGTACAAAATACCTGCACTGGAACTTAGTTCCTAATAGGAAAGAGAATGCCAGTAATAGAGGATTATAAAATCTTCTAGGGGGACCAGCAGTTAGTAATGGCTATGTCGCTGGACTCCCATGTAGTTGACCGACCGGGTGGCTTAAAACTCATGCTGGGCGTGTGTGTGTGCGTGCCCAAGATCCCGAGAGGAGAACAGAAGAGAAGGGATTGCGGCGTGGCCATCCCCCCCGGGGGATGATTTCTCACTTTCTGTCTCTCTGTCTCTGTCTGGCGAGCGCACGTGCCCTATAGCAAAAGCCTCCCCCCCCCAAAAAAAATCTACTAGGCAATTTTAAGAATGTGTTTCATCATTGTTTAGAATGAATAGCAGAATTCTTCAGATTGATATGATTTGTTTGCAAGTGCATTCTGGGAACTCTGATAATTGAATCCAACTTCAAAAGGGCTAAAGCCCAGTGACCTCAAAACGTGGTTCATAGAACAGTACACAATGATGAAACTTGAAGCAATAAAACACTAGTGAACTGAAATGTAAACATTCATACTCTTAGGACATGACTGAATTTAGTCTTATTTTACTTTTGGTATTCTACTGGGTAGTGTTCAGATACCTTATATATACATATATATATATATGTTTTAGTCATATTGCAGTGCTTACCAGAGACACACAGAGGGAAACTGAGAAAGAATCTTACAAACGGGATGGACACACTGCAATTCCTTCTCCTGAGATTCTGGGCATACACGCACATGCGCTGTATGATTTTCAAGCCACCAGGTCCAGGACTTCAACGGTTGTCAGCCATGTGGGACTCCAGCGCCTTAACCATCACGCCACCTGCTGGCCCCCGTCCTTTCATAGCTCACGTGTTGTCTCAGGGTGTTGGGGGAGAACGCCATAATTTGAGGAAACCCAATAATGTTTAGCACACAGTTCCTGTAATGTTACAGGGTACTTCTTTTGACCTTTCGCTAGGTCCAATTCCCTCGGAGTGAATGGAGGCAAATGTACATTGGAGGTTCCCTTTGAACGTCTGTAGTTTGAAAAGTCTCAGTTCCTCTCTTTTCATACTTTGTCCAGGGTTCGGGGCCACCTGCGCCGCAGGATACACCTGCCACTCACCAGGCTCTCAGAGAGGGCAGCTGGCAGGTTTGGCCTCCAGCCCCACGAAGCAGCAGGCAGAGCCGAAGGAAGGAGGGAACGTGGAGCCGGGCCACTCCGGGGCGGCGCTGGGGACGCAGAGGGGCGGGGCCGACGCGCGCGGACAGGGTG